AAACCTTCAAATTTGAAGCAAGACCTTGCTCCTTTTCCTTGCTAGGAGAACACCCTTCTCCTAGGCTTCTTTTGGGTCACACCAACCCTTACAAGATTGTAGCAAAGTTTGTAAATGAAATACAAGAATCTCTCTCAATAGATATACAAGTGCAAGCTCACAACTAGAGAATATCAGAATATTAATGAAGCTCAAGTTCTAGAATGAGAGAAATATCGTGATGGTTGAAAGTGAAAGCTCAGAGAAGAAATTAAATGACTTATTGAATGCTCTTGAATGCTCTCTTGAATGAAATATCCAGTGGTGTATCACTTCAGTAAAATGAGCCTTCTTTATATAGACAACCGAGGCTTAATATGTCTGTTAGAAGTAGTTGGAAGTCTTAAATGCAGAAAAGTGCCGTTGAAGATTCAAATAATCTAGAAGAGCCGGCTCTACAAAAAATTGGAGGAGGCTCCAATAAATGGGAGGCGGCTCCAATAACTGGGAGGCGGCTCCAATTCACAAAATGCATTCTACGACACACAATTTGGCTACTGGAGTGCAAAGAGCAGGCTCCTATATTTGGGAGGCGGCTCCAATCCTTGTGTAAGACTAAGAATGAAACACATTTTGTTCTGTGCACTTCCTATTATGAGAGCATGCATAAGTAAAGTTCATGGAAAGATTTTAGGCCTTCTAAAAACTGATTTTTAGAGAAAATATGCGTGAACCTAAAAACTTGAGCTTCAGAAGATATTCAAATATGCTTTAACATTTAAATCTAAAGCTCTCACCATCCTATCTATCCTTTTCTCCATTCCCTGACCATGATCTCTTGAGCTTGATGAAGACTTGCTTTCTTCCTTGAAATTGTTTGATTGATCTTTGAAGTTTGAGTCTTTCTTTGATTTCTTGCAATCTTTGAGGCTTCATTGAGTTCATAGCTTGAGTACTTGAATGCTTGAAATAGCTCATCTAGCTCATCATATAGGATATGAACTATATATAACTCAATGAAAATATTAGTACATAAACATCATTAATGGTTTGTAATCATCAAAACCTTTAGATAAAAATCCTTAGGCCAACAACATTCTCCACCACTTAAAAAGAATTTTGTCCCGAAATTCAGATCCAACAGTCTTCATATACGTGAAAAGACTAATAACCACAAAACAAAATCCAAATCCTTACCTTGGCGATGTGAGATACCATGATATGTAGGTCGTTATGGTAGCTACCAGTGCTAGTCACCCGCCCACACACTCCGTAACCGTTGTGGTAGCTAGTCGATGCGTCACCCGTCCACTAAAAAAAAAAAATAATAAACAATAACAAACTCGGGCTACCTGCCTAACCACACTAACCAACCATCCTAGTAGCTACCAGTGAACGCCATCAGCCCACACGCACCCGGCTACAAGTGGTAGCTAACCGGTACTATGCACTCACCTACTCACACCCGTCTACATCATCACTACACTCACACTTCCGGCTTGGTACAGGCTTTGATACCATTTTGTCACGCACCAAATTTTCTAATAAAATGCTCTAATACCATTGTGTAACGCCCTGAATTTTCTAAGAAAATGCTCTGATACCATTTTGTCACGACCTGAAAATTCCAATAAAATCCTCAATTCATTCAAATCCAAATATATCAAAATACACCCATTAAAAAAATGCTCCCTTTTATACAAAATCAATTTCCTCAAATATATACAAAATTTTCTAAATAAATAGAATAAATCTTGCAACGCTGACTTTTCCACCTAAGCCCAAAATTAGCAATCCCCATTCATCTTCGGTACTTGAAATTGGAGGGTGGTGAGACGAGAAGTCCAGTAGGAAAAACCATAACAAGAATTTCATGGAGGTTTAATAAAACAGCTTCACAAAATAAACATATTCATGTGAGTATATAAACAAAATACCTATGCATTTAATTAAAACATTTAATAAAAACCATTTGAAGCAGAACCACTCCAAGCCATTCAAGGTATATAGAACCCTGCACTGAAAAAGAATTTTCTCACTGGATCACCAAGTCCTCAGACCTCCGGCCTCCTCTGCAGACTCTCGGCTCACTCTCTGTCCATCCTCAATCTCGGCCCTCTCTGTCTCTATCTCTGTCTCTTTATTTCTCTCTTATTTTCAATATCTTTACTAAACTAATAAGACAAATACTACAATATATAGGCAATTTGCACCGACCCATATCATACAATAGCTTGCTCACCACACAATCAAAATATCAAATACATCATTACAAATGGACCCCGCCACCACCACCTTATCATATCATATCTAAATACAAAGACATATTATAATATATCATATCAACCCAGGTGATCAGCCAAAGCCAGAAGAAACTTGGCCAAAAAAGGTCAACTAACGGGCCCCACGCCAAATCATTACAATTGCCCTTCATCTCTTTTCTTCTCAGCCGTCTATCTTGCCTCCTCATCAGATACAGATTATCTATATATAATATATAAAGATGCAACAAAAAAAACCAAATCTCTTTCTCAAGTGGGACCCGTAGTATTACATAACCATTTCCATTTCTCCTCTTTTTCTCCACTAAAACAAACTCAAAAATAAAAATTATAAATTAAAATCTTAAAAATCCGGGTTATCACAAACTCTCACGACTTTCTCTCTATAATAGGGTGGTATTTGAGCAAACTTTAGGGTTTCCTAGGGTTTGAGAATGTTAAGAGGGGTAGTTGTAGTGATCAGAAGAGAGATAGGGCCGGTCAGAATTGAAAATTAAGAAGGATATATGATAAAAATGATAATGCTACTTTTCAAGTTTTTATATCGTCAATACATAATTAAAAATGAAGTAATATTGGGAATAAATAAAATAATAATTGTACTTTAATTATATATATATATATAATACTTTGAAGGGTTAAACACACACTTCCATGTAGACGGATTGGATTCGAATTGGATCTGGTCTAATCTGATAAACATTTTACTCGATCCGATAATCTTACGGATTTTTTAAGGTTAATCTATATCCGATTTGTTAATAAACGATACCTGATTCGTAATCCAACCCGATAAAAGTGTATTTTTTTTTTATATATAAAAAAAGAAAAAAAAAATAATTTCAAAAGAGAATAAAAACAATGATTAGAAAAAAATGATAAAAAATAATGATTAGAAAAAAATATGGAAGGAAAAGAAGAAGAAATAATCATTTACTATTTGTTAATGAATAAATATTATGACATTATTAATATGTGGGTGAGAGTACTACACTATTATACATATAGCATTATGATTATTATTATTTTGTTACATTTAACATAAATCTGATAGGAGTATTGTATATATATAATAATATATATATATGTATAAATTTAATAGGATCGAATTATTATCGGATTGGATCAGCATAAATCCATTTCTAATTTGTTAAGGAATCGGATTATCGAATTCGAATCGTAATTGGGTTATTGAATTTTTTGTTTAATCCATTTCCAAATAATTGGATCGGATTTGGATCAGAATCCGATCCATTGATAGGTCTACTTCCATGCCTATATTGAAGCTCTTTAAGAATGATATTATGTTTTGTAAATACACTTTGGTCGACAAGACACGATTATGACTCACGAACAGGCACAGACCCAATGTGGGATCTGTCCCCACTGGATTTTTTATATTTTTATTTTATACTTTATTTTTAAAAAATTTATGAAAATGCTCCCACAAAAATTATAATTTGCCCCCACTGGATTTTTTATTTTTTTTTTAAACTTTTAACAATTTATGAAAATTCCCCCACTAAAATTACAATTCGGCCCCACTGCTTTTTTTTTTTATACTTTACATTTTTAAAAATTTATGAAAAAATCCAATTGAAATTAAAAAAATGGACCCACTATATAAGATTGCCCCCACAAATTAAAAGTCTGCCCCCCCTCACAAACACGAATTGCCACCCTTAAAACACCGGACCTTCCCTTTAAAAATGAGAATTTCTACCATCAAAGTTATTGCCCATTTGATTTTTAATAAATGTTTGCCAAAACCGAGTCATGTTATGTCTTAATTGTATGATTCAATATTGGCACATGGAGTAATTAATTAACAACCTAGGATGTTGCATTAAATATTTAAAGAATTCTGCATCTGTATGGAATTCAAGTGATGCATGTTTAATTAAAGAGAAATGATAGGTCTTTCGATTTCAATTGCCGACTCATTCTCCGAATACAACGTGGTTGGATCACGTTAGAACTCTTAAAATAAAATCCCGTAAACATCTTCTTTTTTTTTTTCAACTCATTCCCAACCTCGTTGTATTCGAAAAATGAGTCTACAATTGAGGTCGGAAGATCTATCACTTTTCTTAATTAAAAGCTCCATTGATTCATGCATATGTATATTAGTTCCTTTTTTTGCTAATTGTTACTTGTGTTTTCAATAAAGGATGGTACTCAAAAGGAAAACATGGAAGACAAAACCCATCAAGCCGGTGTCGTTCTCATGCTTGACTCACTGTCATATTGTACTATTGAAAAGATCTCCTGCGAGGTTCTTATATATAGCATACATACAGAATAAATTATTGTTTCATTCTATATATATGATTGAAAAAAAAACAAAGAAAAGTGTCATTTTTAAGTCATTTCTTGCAAGTATAGATATGATCAATATTGTATCAACATATTTTATTATTCATATCCCATTGTTCAACCCAACCATTTAACTGGAAATAAATATGTATATATATATATATATATAATCCTTTCAATTAGTCTTTTTAACGGATTATATACCTTGAGATTGCTCTAGTCCAATACTTGCAACTACCTTAAATCAGGTGCAGATAGCCTTAGATCACGAATATCAATCTGAATATGAAAATTTTGAATTATGTTTAAGACTATCTTGTTCCTCTTTAATCAAAGACGAGATCTTTCAAATTATGTGTAAGATTGTGTCTCTATGCCAATGCCTGCTGCGACCTGGTTTCTTTAGATCTATCTCATTCTCATTTTGGATGAAATTCGAGAAAGCCACTGACACACCTGCTGAACTAGAAATCAATTGAACAATGAACCAATATTGGTTCTGTATGTTTTATATAAACTTAACCAACAAAAAAAAAAAAGAAAAAGTAAATAAAGGTATGTAGTCATGACTATTTTCTAGTCAAAACAGTACTTTAGATTAATATAGTTAAATGCAATTCAGGAGGGGGAGTTACATGCATACATATCTTATATTACATACATTGTTGGATTCACTGCTCAAGATTCTTGGACACCTACAATTAATATCAAAAAGTAAAGTGGGGTAGAGAGACAAAAAAAAGAAAAAGAAAAAGCCTAAGCTTCGACTTAATTAAAGTTGAAGGATATTGCTTTCAATGGAAGCAAGAAGCTGATTCCTAAAGCTAGCTTTATTCCATTTGGAATCACAACATAAGCCCTCTTTACTACTCTCATCAATCTGCCTCTTCCTACTACTTTCCAAACCCCAACATGGCCAACAAGTTAACTCCTGAAGGTTCATACCTCCAACCCAAAACTCCTGAAGGTTCATACCTCCAACCCCAAACCCTGCAGGTTCTGCCCTCCAAATCCAAACTCCTTCAGGTTCATACCTCCGACCCCAAACTCCTGCAGGTTCTGCCCTCCAACCCCAAACTCCTGCAGGTTCTGCCCTCCAAACCCAAACTCCAACTGATGATGAAAACTCCTGACCGTGGGAGCATTTTCATGTCTTCCGATGACAATTTCATTTGCGATTAGTATATAAGGCCAGGCAGATTGCAAGAAGCGCACAAGCCCTCTTAACTACTCTCGTCTGTTCTGAAATCTAGAGTTCTGCTAATTTCCGTAGCCCAACATGGCCAGCAAGTTGGCTCCTGAAGGTTCTGCCCTCCAACTGATGATGAAAACTCCTGACCGCAGGAGCATTTTCATGTCTTCCGATGACAACTTCATGATGAAGCAAATTCTGGCAACTCACGCTCCTGATGGCCGCGAGGTTAATATTAAACCTCTTCTCCGTGTTGTTGAGGACATCCTCCGCCATTCCACCCTCAATGTTGATGGCCTTTTACTGGTATATATAAACCTATATAATATATCTCTCCTAAGTGGTGCATATAAGCTTCCTTAATTTTTACTCTCTCTCTTTTTTTTTTATTTTTTTTTTTTATATATATATATTTTTAATATGGATTCATGCATATGTATCATGCATATATTAAATATAAGTTTTTTTTTTTGCTCATTTTTTATTTTAACTTCTGATTTTACTGAAGGATGGTACCCAAGCACAAAAGGAAAACGTGGAAGACAAAACCAATCAAGCTGGTGTCGTTCTCTTGCTTGACTCACTGTTATATACAATTGAACGGATATCCTGCGAGGTTCTTATATATATAGTATATATACATAATTCATATCAATTATTTCTTCTATGCACAGATATAATTAATTATTTTATCTTGTGGATTAATATCAGATGGAAAGCAAGTGTTTGAGCGGAGCCGAAGGACATGCGACAACACTCCCTCTGTTTAATGTGGTATCGAGCTTTTCATGGGAGGCTAAGCTGGTGCTAATATTAGCTGCTTTTGCTTTAAAATATGGGGAATTCTGGCTCCTTTGCCAGATTTACTCATCAAACCAACTTGCAAAATCAATGGCCGTCCTTAAGCAATTACCTATCATCATGGAGCACTCTGGCTCATTGAAATCGCGGTTTGATGCAATTAATAATATCATCATGACCATTTTGGATCAGACAAGGTGTATCGTGGAGTTCACGGATCTACCATCTACCTACATCACACATGATGTACCGGCATTGTCAACTGCCTCAGCCACTATCCCAACTGCTGTCTATTGGGCCATCAGAGGTGTCATCGTTTGCACAGCTCAGATTATCAATCTTAGTACCACTGGCCACGAGTATGTTTATTGTCATGTTCAAAATTGATGGTTATTTATATACACACACACAAACAGATATATATATATATATATATATATATATATATATATATATATATTCACTCATTAAGACTTATGTTACACTCAGTCTGTTAAAAGACCATTCGTACGTGGTTCTTCATGACATAAAAGAAATTAAATCTCTTGCAACTGTTTTCAGCTTACAAGATTCATGGGATCTATCTACTTTGACTCACAAGATCAACAACATACTCGACCATCTTAAGAAGCAACTGGCTACTTGCTACCAATACATAGGTAAGTATTGACCAACCATATGCATTCACACAAGCTAGCAGTATTGTTATTGCACACACAGTACGTACTACAATGCATCTGGAAAATGATTTGTCTAACTGTTGAAAATAACATTGCTGTTTCATGCAGAGGATAAGAGGAATTTTGAAGCTTACGACGCACTGCAGCATATATTTGAAACGATCCAAATTGAAAACATGAAAGTTCTCAAAGCAATAATTTGCCCCAGGGATGATCAGGCACCGCTACTTGATGGTGCTTCAAAGAAAAGGGTTCGAAATTTTTATGATATATGATCAATGTTGATTAACTTGATTCTACTGCAATTTAATATGTTTTAATTAATTGTATGGCAAATTAAACAGGTGAGCCTTGAAGTTCTGAGGAGGAAGATTGTGTTATTGCTGATATCGGGCATAAACTTTTTCCAGGAGGAGTTTTCGGTTCTGGAGCATGTTTACAATGACTCGAGGAACCATGCATACGAGGTGGTGTGGATTCCAATTGTGGAACATTGGGTCCAGTGGACTGACCTGATGCAAAAGCAGTTTGAGACCCTGCAGGCCACAATGCCATGGTTCTCAGTGCACCACCCTTCATTGATCCAGAAACCAGTCATCAGGTTCATCAAGGAGAAATGGCATTTCAGAAACAAGCCTATCCTTGTGGTGCTCGACCCACAAGGAAAGGTGTTGAGCCCTAATGCAATCCACATGATGTTGATATGGGGAAGTGGTGCCTTCCCTTTCACCAGCTTGAAAGAGGAAGCTCTTTGGGATGAAGAGATTTGGAGGCTTGAATTGCTGGTCAATGACATTGATCAAACAGTTCTGAATTGGGTAAGTGAATTCCATCATATATGTTACTTCCTACAGAAAAGAAAAAAAAAAAAAAAAAAAAAAACCCCAATATAATTAACACATGATAAAGTAAATTAAAATATATGGTACCAAATTAAGAAGGATGATGATTATGATCTTATAATAAAAAATGTACTTTTGATAACTTAGTGTTGGGTGTCTTGTTTATTTTAGATAAGAGACGGCAAATACATATTCTTGTATGGAGGGGACGACATTGAGTGGATTCGAAAATTTACAACCTCAGCACGCTCTGTTGCATTGGCTTCTCGCATCCCATTAGAGATGGTGTATGTGGGAAAAAGCACCAAAAAGGAGCAAATCCGGCGTGTCATCTGGACCATCGTGATGGAGAAACTCAGCTACTGCTGGCAAGATATGGCCATGATATGGTTTTTCTGGACCCGTCTAGAGAGCATGTTGTTCTCCAAGATTCAACTAGGCAAAGGCGATGACAATGACCCCATGGTGCTGGCGATCAAGAAAATCCTCTGCTATGACAAGAGCGGTGGATGGGCTGTGCTGACCAACGGAAGTTCCGTGGTGATCAACGGACACAGTAGCACGGTGTTGCCTGCATTGAAGGACTATGATATGTGGAAGGAAAATATACCTGTCAAAGGCTTCGATCCATCAATTAAAGATTACCATGACTTGCTTCATGGCGCGGCTCTGCCGTGCTGTCGCTTCGAATTTCCGAGCACTTTCGGGAGGATTCCGGAGAATATGAAATGCCCAGAGTGCCTCCGCATTATGGGAAAAAACTTTGCTTTCGTCTGCTGCCACGACGAAATTGTTGTTAGTGCACTATATTGAGTCACTACTGTGAGCTTCCATTAAGTACTAATATTTTGTAATTGGTTAATTTCGTTATCAAAACAAGTTCGATCGAGTTTGTAGACACCAAAAATTTTAACGGATTTTTATTTTGACAAATTGACCCAATAAATATGGATCTAATGTATAATTAGGTTATTTTCAAACTTGGTCTATTTAAATTATTTAATTAACCCAGCCCAGATGATTAAATGAAAAGATAATTATTCTTAATAAAATATATTTGGAATAATTTTTTTAAGGATAATTATCATAATATAACTATAACGACCCAGAAAGATACCAAAATAATAATAATAAAATCTATTTCGGCATGACCTCCGCAGAAAAAGTCCCTCTATTGTAATACAAAAAAAGTGCAATGGCCTTACTGGGCCTTAAAAATAACCTATCCTGTCCCAACGCACAATACATATATTATAACACATTCCCAAGATGGTTACATACATATGAAATGTCCCCTTCCTCCATCTCATCTAAATAAGGAGTATAGTTGCATCAAGTTACAGTCCATAAAATGTAGCTAAAATTTAATAGTCCATAGCTTACAACATTATACTAATTAAACTAAAGTTTCACAAGATAGTTAATATTACATTTACAAAATATTAGAGTTCTAATACAAAAGGTAACAAAATAAATGAGTCTTCAAGCTCGTCTAAACCTGTGGTGGATCGTCGTCCACCAGCTCTCTTCCATGTCCTGAAAAATGTTAAAAAAAAATAGGGTGAACATAAACTCAGTAGGAAGTGTCTAAGACACACTTCTTATAGCCCCGTGAATCCCACACAAAGAATGGATAAAAAGGAACGGGGTCATACCATGAGAAATACATATTCTCAACCATAACAACAAATATGTAGCAAATGTCAACCAATCACAAATTTACTAAAATGCCATGAAGTGCAATGTTATGCAAATGTCGCTCCCCATTTCCGAAACAATTCCGTTTCAACAACCAAACCGTTAGTGTAATCCGACCCAAGGCACCTCCAAGGCGTCACGAATGGAAGGTTGACTAACTATCCACGACTACAAGGCACCTCCAAGGCGTCGCATCTGGCCTAGTTAGCTCAACCATACTCTCTTCTAGACTACACTAACAACACGGACCACTAGGCGCCTCCTAGGCGTCCGGTTTTCGTAAACTCCTTTTCAAAAATATTTTTCCCAAAAAAAAAAAATAATAATAATAATTTAATTTATTTTAAAACATTTTTCCTCCTATTTCTTCCCCAATGGATGCATGAATGCTTCATGCTTCATTTCATCAATTCAACTATAATGTTCCCACATACTTTTTTCAATCAAATTAATAAATTACTAAAAATACACAACTCAAATTCTATCCCACATTTTGGTAGCAATTTAAATATACAATTCACAAATTTATTTCCATAATTATAACATAAATTTTCATATCAATTAAAATCATAAAAATAAACCAATACTAAGCATGCTTCTTTACAAGTTAAAATTCATCATACTAATAAACCCAATTAACACATAACACATATTTATCATCATCAATATAAATAACCCTAACAAACATAATCACAAAAATTAAAATTTAGCATGCTTCAAGTCAAATTAAAAGTGAAAATCCACAAGAAATCTAAGAAATAGTGGATTAGAGCACCCCTACCTCAATGGAAGTGAAAACCCCCAAAATCTCCAAATCCAAGCCCAAGAACCCTAGAATTTCGAACTCCCTAGACTTGGCCAAACGGTGATTGGCTCCTATCAAATCGACGGCTTCGACGAGTTCTCCAACTTTGCTTCAAATGTTCTACCAAATTCCCAAAGGAAATAACTAGATCAAACTTTAAGATTGCAAAAAGAAAAAGGAGTAGTGAGATGCCGAGAGCAAAATAGATGCAGCAGAGAGAGAAACCCACGAGTAATGGTCTGTGTAATGGCCTTATGGCCTTTTGTGAGACTTAATACATTGGTGGGGCCCACTCACTTTGAAAAAGAGAAATATCTAATAACTTCAGTATATATGTACATATATATATATATATATATAAAGTTATAACTATTACATTCTCTCTAACTTTAAAAGATTTTGTCCCCGAAATCAAGCCATACTTGAGGGAGAAAACAACTCTGGATACTTGGAGCAAACCTCCTGTTTAAGCTCCCAAGTAGCCTCTTCAACTCCGTGATGCCTCCAAAGAACTTTTACCAATGGTATCGTCTTTTTCCTCAACACCTTCTGCTGTGTGTCAAGGATTTTAACTGGTCCCTCCTCGTAGGAAACATGCTCATTAATGTCCACATCAACCCAACTCAAAATGTGAGATGGATCCGGCTCGTACTTTCGTAGCATCGATACATGGAGAATATTATGGACCCTGTTCATCTGCGGTGGCAACGCTAGTTTGTAGGCAACCTCTCCTACACGGTCCAAGATCTCAAAAGGTCCAATGAATCATGGCGACAACTTGCCACTCTTCCCAAACCTCATCAACCCTTTCCGTAGAGAAACCCGAAGAAAAACATGGTCTCCCACCTCAAAGGATAGCGGTCGTCTCCGCCTATCTGCATAACTCTTCTGCCGGCTCTAAGCTGTAAGCAATCTCTGCCTGATCAACTAAATCTTCTCGGTAGTCTCGAGTATAATGTCAGGTCCTAAGGCGGCTGTCTCGCCCACCTTAGTCCAACAGGCAGGAGACCTACAAGGTTTACCATACAACGCCTCAAATGGAGCCATCTGAATACTTGCCTGATAACTGTTATTGTAGGCAAACTCAATAAGTGGAAGATGATCCTCCCAATTACCACCCAAGTCAAGTACACAGGCCAGAAGCATATCCTCCAAGATCTGGATGGTATGCTCTGACTGGCCGTCCGTCTGTGCATGGAATGCCATACTAAGGTGCAACGCTGAGCCAAATGCCGCTTGAAGTCCTTCCCAGAACTTCGAGGTGAACTTGGCATCCCAATCTGAAACAATAGCCACTGGAACTCTGTACAATCTTACAATCTCTTTCACATAAAGTATACCAAGTGCCTCTGCGTCATTTGTTGCCTTAATGGGTAAGAAGTGAGCTGTCTTGATCAATCTATCAATAATGACCCATACGGCTTCATTTCCCCTCTATGACCTAGGAAAACCTGTCACAAAATCCATTGTAATCTCCTCCCATTTCCACTGCGCTACCGGCAATGGCTGCAATAAACCAGCTAGTCTCTGGTGCTCGGCCTTCACCTGCTGACAGGTAAGACACTTAGCCACAAACTGTGTAACGTCCTTCTTTATTCCATTCCACCAATACTGATGTCTCAGATTGTGATACATTTTTGTACTACCTGGATGAACTGCAAAGCGGGAAGTGTGAAACTCCCATAAAACGTCCTCATGAAAAACTGTGGGAACAACCAACAAACCTCTGAACTGTATACCTCCATCTGCATGTAAGGTCCAATCCTTTACGGTCTCACTATTGGAGATCAGAGTGTAAATGACATCCAAATCCGAATCCTGTCTCTGTGACTCAATCACCCGTCTAACAAGAGTGGGTTGAGCCACGAGACTAAACAAGAATACTGACTCACTGCCATCATCATCATCATCAAAGCAATACAATCCCATTTCAGCCAAATCTTCAAGCATCTTCCATTTTCGAATGGCTAAACTAGCCAAAGTCCCACGAGATTTCCGGCTTAAAGCATCAGCTACCACATTTGCCTTGCCAGGATGATATTGCAAATCAAAGTTATATTCTTCTAAGAATTCAACCCATCGCCTCTGTCTGTTGTTCAAGTCCTTTTGGGAGAAAAGGTACTTGAGACTTTTGTGGTCCGAGAACACCTCAAATCTCTCACCATACAAATAGTGTCTTCAACACTTCAAAGCAAACACGACTGCTGCTAACTCTAAGTCATGAGTAGGGTAGTTAAGCTCGTGAGTCTTCAATTGTTGAGACCTATAAGCCACTACTCTATCATCTTGCATCAGTACACAACCCAAACCATCACGTGAGGTGTCACAATAGATCACATAACCCAAGCCACACTCAGGTATCACTAACACCGGAGCCGTAGTCAACCTTGTTTTCAACTCTTGAAAGGATGACTCACAGGCCTCATTCCATGCAAATTTGATCCCTTTCCGGGTCAATTTGGTCATAGGAGCTGCTAAACGGGAAAAATCCTTCACAAATCTCCGATAATAACCCACTAGGCCAAGGAAACTCCGGATCTCAAAGACATTCTTGGGTTACTCCCAATTCAAAACTGCCTCTACCTTTGAAGGATCAACTGAAACCCCACATTCCGAGACAACATGTCTTAAAATTTTCACCTCTTGTAGCCAAAACTCACACTTTTCATATTTGGCGTACAAACGGTGCTCCCGTAGAATCTGCAACACTATACTTAAATGGACCTCGTGCTCCTCCCGGGTCTGTGAATACACAAGAATATCATCCACGAAAACTACCACAAACTGATCCAAGTAATTGTGGAAGACACGGTTCATTAAATCCATGAATGTCGCCGGCGCATTAGTTAAACCAAAAGGCATAACAAGAAACTCATAATGTCCATACCGCGTACGGAAAGTGGTCTTTGGAATATCCTCCTCTCTAACCCGTAACTGATAATAACCTGACCTCAAGCCAATCTTCGAAAAATAACTGGCTCCCCTCAACTGATCAAACAAATCATCTATCCTTGGCAAATGATATTTGTTCTTGATCGTGGCATGATTCAACTTTCGGTAATTAATGCACAACCTCAAAGAACCATCTTTCTTTTTAGCGAACATGACCGGTGCACGTTAAGGGGCAAAACAGTACTGTTAGTAAAAGTTCTTTGGAGACACCACAGAGTCGAAGAGGCTACTTGGGAGCTTGAACAACAGGTTTGCTCCAAGTACCCAGAGTTGTTTTCATCCCCAAGTATGGCTTGATTTCGAGGGCGAAATCCTTTTTAAGTTGGGGAGATTGTGATGTTTCCAATTTTCCTTATATTTTATTTTTTTGGAATTTCATTGATGCAAGGGTATTTATGTCTTTTAACGTTTTGCGTACGGGATTTTAGTTGGGTCTATTTGTATCATAATTATTTTGATTTATTATGTTTTAAGTAGT